AAAGTAAAGAAAGAGGTAATACATAAACGAGTGTCTTACCAAAAACCGTCCAGAACCCTCCTGATAATCAAACTTAACAGAGAAATAATGACAAAATACACCAATGTTTCACACGGAGGGAAAATTCGTTGGGAAAACAAATGTAGGTCAACTGTACACAATCACGAACGAAATGATCTATCACGATTCCCCTCAGGATACTAACTTACAAAATAACTAAACATGTCCAACTTAAAAGCCACTAGTTATGATGTTTTGCCCATTATTGTTAAAATTTTCATTGTACAATTCTCTTAGTAATTAAATATTCAACTACCTCATTTTGAAATTTTTAAACTAGTAAGCATAAATCCCCTTTAAAGTGATTTTCTTATTTACTATTGTTCGCTTGAACATTACTGAATTGATACTTTCTCTGTCCATATTACAACCTCTTATTTTTTTAAATACTATCAATTGATATTACTTACTAAAATTAATAAATATCATTTTTACTAAAATTTCAATTTACTCAACATTTTTGACATTAATAAACCATTACTTGTCTAATTACCTTTTAAACCTGTTTTAATACCACATTTACTATTCCTAGATTACTCTTAATTACCTTGTACTGCCATATAACCTCAAGTATAACACCAGTGCAATATTGAATGAAATAAACATTACTTTTTCACTTTTTTGTAATCATTATTACTTACTAAAATTTTATAAACCCCATTTTTACTACCAGTCAATTTTACTTTTGTACATTAAACATTATTTTATACTTCCCATAACATTTTTGTTGCCAAATTTTAAAGTTTTTAATTAAACCCCCCAACCTTTATATTATCCTTTTTTACTGTGTACCTGGGTAACCTGTCTACCATCTTACTATCATATTATAACCAAGACATTACCATTGTGATTTTTACTATTATTCTTTTGTACTTTAATTGTGAATTTTTATTTTGTCAATTTAAATCTAAAGTTTTAATCTTGTCTTGTCAACAACCTATACCAGGACTCTAGTGCAATTGCAAGTACCATTTCAAATTGTATTTTATATTATAAGTTTATATTATAATTCCTACCATCTGTCCATTTAACTTTGCTTACCATTACTTAATTTTAGTCCCTTATATATTTTCTCCTTTATTTTAGCTTTATATAACTACCCTTAGTTTATATATCCAAAATTTGTTAAAATAATCAAGGTGCTATTCTCAGGTGCTAAAGTAGAATATTCACAATTTTGCCCATTAATTTTCCAAAGCTCATTTAATTGATTACCACTTTATTGTTCACCACAACCTATATTTAGTCCCTTTTTATTATAATTTTAAACATAATTCTAACTTTAAAAATTACCTTTATGTACTACCTACTATCATATTCCCAACTCTATTATATGATCATCATTTTATTTGTATTAGTCCCTTAGCTCATTATTTTACATTTGTTAAATAATTCAGGTGCTCTTTTTTAGTTTTAAGACTATTTACTTTGTTTTATACTTAATTCTAACTAAGATTCACTACAAATCTTATATTACAAGCATTGATCCTGAAGCCAACCTCTTATTTTAATGACTTAAATGAATCAAACAGTTACTGTAATTACTAACTGCAGAACAATCAAAGGCACTTCTCAGTGCCAACAACAACAAAACTATCTTTAACTACAATATCAGATCTTAAGGGCAAGCATACGATGACCTCATAGCATTACTAAATTCCTTACATGCCAATATGTCCATCATTTACACTAACTGAAAAACCCGGCTAAAGCCTGATAGTACAGATGTCTATGCCATTCCTGGTTACACAGCCATACACAACTGTAGGCCAACCAACAAGGGGGTGGCACAGCCATATACTACTCAGACCAACCCAGAATGTATCACTAATACTTGCACAAGGGGTGAAAAATGGGGAATATATAAAAAGCTAAATTTCAAATCCAAATACCTACAAAACCTCTCACATTGATAAACATCTACAGAGTTCCACAGTCAAACATTAGCCAATTTATTTAAAATCTAGGAAGTATGATAACTGATGCACGCATGAACAAAGATCACTTACTAAATCTCAGGTGACTTCAGTATAAATCTCCTGCAAGACCCGACCCACACGTTACTGAATTCACAAACAATGAGTACTGTATGTTACTACCAACAGTAACAAAACCTACAAGAGTTACAGAGACTAGTGTTTCCCCACTTGACCACATTGACCAACAACCATATCCCCTTTAAAATCAGGGATAATTACAGATAATACCACAGACCACTACCCTACTTTCCTCATAACAACTCTTGGTAAACTTTCCCCAAGACACTACTAAAGTCACCTTCCCGACTTCACAATGGGGCAGCCATTAATAACTTCACAACAGCATTAGCAAACATTGATTGGCACACTGAGCTAGAAATCTATACAGATATTGACGAATGTATTAATAATTTTCTAAAAAAGCCCAAAACCTCTATAACAAGCACTGCCCTAAAAAAACTAAACAGATGACAGCAAAGAGACTGAAAAGCCCTGGCTAACACCCAGCATTCTCAAATCCATAAATACAAAACACCAATATGAAAAACATACAGAATGGGTCACATAACCAGAGACCAAACCAAACGTTACTCGTCAATCCTAACCAGCCTGATAAGAAGGGCAAAAAAATTGTATTATGAGAACAGATTATCCAACTTACGAGGTGATAAAAAAAGACCTGGAAAACCCTATCAGAAATTCTGGGAACAAAAAAGATATCACGAAATAGCGAAATAAAATTAGCAAAATCAGATGAACCCCAACTCCCACCAACAAAACAGCAAACAGACTCAATGATTTCTTCTCCACTATAGGACAAAACCTTTCCCAATAAAAACCCAAGCTCAGATACCCCACCAAATGACTAACCTCACCGGCAACTACCCGAACACACTGTTCCTAGCTCCGACTAACCCATACGAATCTCCTTATTATCAATGCACTAAAAAAAAAAGGCAGGAGATTTAAGTACCTTACCACCCCTTTATATACAAAAAGTGTCACAAGTGCTATCTCCAATCATTGGGAACACTCTTTAACAAATCCATTGAATCCTCCACCTTCCCTACAGTACTCAAAATAGCAAGGGTCACCCCGATCCACAAAGGAGGAAGACCAAACAGAGTTGAATAACTATAGGGCCCAAAATCCAACTTACACCCTCTCTCAAAAATCTTCGAAAAATTAATTCCCTAAACGAATCTACTCCTACCTTACTCCCAAAACATACTCAACCCCCGCCAATTTGGATTCCCGGCCTAATAAAAAAACTAATGATGCTAAATTTTACACATGCAGAACATATATACACTGCAATAGAGAAAAAAGAAGTCCCACTGGGGATCTTCATTGACTTACGTAAAGCTTTTGATACAGTTGACCATGACTTGCTCCACGTAAAATTGTCACACTATGGTATAAAGGGCACTCCCTCAACTACCCTCAAGTCATACCTCAGCAACAGAAGCCAATATGTGTACGCAAAAGGGGCAAACTCTTCTGCGCAACCAAATTTCAGTTGGTGTCCCACAGGGAAGTGTCCTGCCCCTTCTCTTTCTCCTAAAACATAAATGACCTTCCAAATGCTTTCGCAATACTCAAACCCACACTATTTGCAGATGACACTACCTACGTCTTCTCTCACCCGAGCCCATCACACTAGCCAATACTGTAAATACCGAATTACAGAAAAAAAACTACCTGGATGGGACTAACAAACTTACACTAAACATTGACAAAACCTACTTCATTCAGTTTGGTAACAAGCTACAGATGTCCCTCTTAACATAATGATAAAACGGATCACCTATCACAAAGCTAACAGAGGGAAAATTCTTAGGAATCCACCTTGATAATAGACCCCAAATTTCATACACATAAACAACAAATTTCTAAGAAAAAATTTTCCCAAAACTGTAGGCATACTATCGAAGATACGGTACTATGTTCCACAGTCAGCCCTCCGGGCCCCATATCACTCTCTTTTTTACCCCTATCTCACCTATGGAATTTGTGCATGGGGCTCAACAACAATTAACCATCTCAGACCACAATTACCCAACAAAAGGCTGCAGTTAGAATGATAACAAATTCTCACAACAGGCAGCACACTCCACCAATATTCAATACACTAAACCTACTCACCATACAAAACATCCATACTTATTACTGCACCTATACATACATAGAACACTTAACTCTGATATTAACCCTCCCCTCAAACATCTCCTTGCCAACCTCAACAGAACACATGACCATAACACAAGGCACAGATCACTCTTTGATGTTCCTCGTTTTTCATCTCACACTATGCAAAAACTCAATGCACATAAAAGGGCCCCAAAATCTGGAATTCATTACCTGTAAAAATAAAAGAAACACTACCTGTTTATAAATTCAAGTCTCTACTCCCAAAGATCACTTTACTCACCCAAAATCAATAAATACTGAATAACTAAACCTTATAAATTGTATATCTTAAATGTTCTCACAATTATATCACATAAATGTTAAACCTGAAACCCGAATCTAACTTTATTATTTTTTAAATACACTACCTAACAGAATCCTTCATATGACTGAATGCAACCATATGACCTGTCTTTGTAATACTCACTTGTGCTTTATAGTAATCTGTTTACATTAATGTTTTATCACTGACTTCATCATTGCTTAGTTAATCTTAAGTTAATTTTAAGCCAGCCCGTAATGCTATGCATAGTATAAGTGGCTTTGGCATGCTGCTCTTATCTGTATTTTTTTGTACCTCTGTATGTGTGCTCAAATTGATAATAAATAAATAAATAAATAAATAAATAAATAAGTTAGCAGCACACTGCTGATATAACCAATTTTATTTGAGACTGACTAAGAAGATAATAGGGACATTGTAATTCTTTCCATTAACAGATACAAGTGACAGCACAACAGCATATGTTTGCCTTTGCATTATCAGTTTACCGATGGAAGGTCCAATAATGACAAAGGCGACGCCGGTTAGTAGTAGCATGGTTCCCATTGTGGCAGTCATATAGTGGAATCCCATGTAGTGGACAACGATGAGGTTGTATATGCCCAAGAAGCCTCCACCACCGCTCCCCCACACTCCCATGATCACAGTCTTCCATCTTATGTCCTCCACCACACTGAAAGCTGAAATACAAAGAGTTTGTAATGAGAGTAATGCTACATATCAGTTGTCAAATATCTGTCTGTATTCACGTATTGACCTAATACTTTGATATGTATAAGTCTCGTCAATATAATTTTCAACCCGTGTGGAAAATACTGTATATTTTCTGGAAATACGGTAATTTATAGGTAAATAGATGGCCTATATTGTATTTAATAAAAATTATGTTATAAAAAATGGGAATTTCTGCACCTGCGCAGAGGAGAGTCGCCATTGTTGTTTGAATTGGATAAGAAACGTTATTGAATAATCAGAAGAATTTTTGTCGCTCTAGAGGTTAAATTGGGCTGACACCTCTCAAATAGGAGCCGAAATTGTTGGATGCACATTCCTGCATAACTTGATATATCAGACGACAGGACAAGACAGCTTGTGTTATAATTCTGGCCAGCATTATCTTCATAAATTTGGTTAGAATGAGGTTTTTGAGTATGATACACATTAATCTCCAGTCAAATAGGTGAGTTATATTAAGATATATTCTCCTTCTGTTATATAAATGTGTATAAGTATCATTAATTTTAATATACAGTCCACCAATTTTTATATTTACCAGAATTCCTGTGTGTATGTACATTTCATTTGTAATTATAGGTCTAGAGCAACTTGTGGAGAAATTTTCTCCAGGAGGGGGTTATCAGCCCCCTTCAGCCCCTTTCAGCCCTGAGGGGCCCAGACCTCTCAGAAGGGGCAAGCATCTTGTTTACTGCTACAGTGAGTAATTGATCATAAATGCCATACGAGTATGCGACCTGTGGTCAACCGACCATTGCTCCTTGCAGTCCAGTGTTGCAGAGTGTATTTTAATAAGAGAACAGTTCATCTCTTACTTTAGCAGGACAATTAAGGAAAATCATGCTCCCACTTCGTACCATAGTAAAGATAGTGGACATTGTTATCTATGCTTAAGACAGCAAGAATCAAACCTTCTGCTTTGCTTCATCGAGGAAGTGGCAAGGAAGCAAAAAGTACTAGGTCAGCTTATTTTATTGTGCTAGGGGAGTGGACGGGCATGAGGCGCTGTGGGTCTGGAGATTACTTTTGACTCTATGAGAGTGACACTGACGCCAGGGGATAACAAGCAAAGAACACTGTTCTGTGCGTTAGTGTGAACAAACGTGTCTCATAAACACAATAAACACTTAAGAGAAGTGTGATCAGCTTCTTTTGTGATAAGATTGTGAACAATAAGAAAGACAAATCTTGTGGAACATAGTGTACCCGTGTGCGGTTTCTAGGACAATGGAAAGAGTGGACATTCCAAGGACACTTCAGCTTCTATCAAGTCACCGAACCTGTCGAAGGTGTGAACACGATATCCGTTACAAGGCAAGGTATGTTTTACGAAATTTCTTGTGGACGGGGGAATGGCAGTTCTTGAGTCGCAAGGAGTTTGTAATCAGCCTATAGTCGGCAGTTAAGGTTGTGGACTTTGAGTCCAACAGTAAAGTTGTCTGCATCCGTGTATGAAATATGCTGACATAACACCCCCTAGGGGTTAATTTATAATCCGTACAATTTAAATCTTTACAGCCCGTTGGAAAGATGGTTTCGACATCTTCTAGGACCTCTCTGCAGGGGCGGCTGTGTAGGACGATTTGCTGTCTTTTAATCAGGTATGTGTTCACATATTTATATTTATAAATATCTTAGCGGGTAAAGCCATTTTCAACATAATTGGTCGTGCTCGAACCGATAAACGCCACACTTGGTCCAAATATGTTGTACTACCGTGTACAAATAACCTACGAACCAAGGTCCTTCGAATAAAAAAAAAAAGCTGTAAAATCTAGTGTTTTACAATATAAACCAGTAAATGAGTTCCTCCAGACTAAATCACAGGAATTGGCAGCCAAAAGGAAACGGGTGCTCACCCAGCGTTCACCCAAAGATAAACGGGAGCTGGGTGACTCACCCAACAAGAAAACGCGGATGGTCCCGGCACCACAGGCTCAAATCTCGAAAATTGTGACCAAGGACCACCAACACCCAAGTAATATTCAGTTTGTCTGAGTATATATTACACATAGTGTTTATAATGTTTTTAGACAGAAATTAAGAGACAAGATTGTGTTAAAAGTTTGTTCCTGTAGATCTACCTGTTATATTAAAAGGAACTTATATATAAAGTGGTAAGCTTTCAAATATATATTAAGAGTGACATTTAATATATAAGTAATATTCACGTGTGATTTACAGTTATCACTGCATTATCGTGTATAGTGATGAAGTGTTATAACATCGTTATTTACGAGTATCATCGTGGCCAGGCTGACACAGCAAACTCATGCATACCACCAGCACATGAACTCTGTACCCTTCTTGGTCATTGGACCCTAAGGTTTAAGCTTTTAGAGTCAGTAGTGTTGACTGATTATTGCTGACTTAAACATAACAAAACTCAGCTGTTTTATAGCCAGTACAGTGTTTTAATCCACTCTAAGTGTGGTTGGCTTAGTATTTTCAATTTTACCATTAAGTGGCTTGTTTGGAAAAAACGCAGTTTCAGTCTTTGCAGACTAAGAATCCCACAATAGAAAAATCTAATTTCAAGTCTGTATAGGAATTAACTCAAGATACAAAACATAGATTTTGATGATCTTGAGGTTCAAATTTGATTATTTACACATACATCTGAAATAATTATTCAGGACTATTACACATTATGAAAATAAATTTCTTGAATCAGATCATCTGAGGAGAAATTAAAAATGTTTTGGATCTTTTAGTAATCAACAATTAAGGTGGGACAGGGAGTACAGGCTATCTGCCGTAAAATCAGTCACAGAGACCTACTGTAACTAGGGTCAAACACCTGTTCAATGTAACAACAACAAGTTGTCCCATTACCAAGCTTACCTACATTGTCCTTACTGTTTCCAAGGTCTTAATTATTGAAGGAATTCTTTAGAGGTTTTCATCCATAGTAAATTCCGAATGACATAGATGAGAATGGTAAGTCAATTACCTTTTAATGTCTTTGACGGGAGAAACCTGTATCGAACTGTTAGTCATTTCGGTGGTTAAGGTAATTATCAAATAGCCTTACGTGACTTAGCAGACAATTTAACTGGATTGCTGACAAGGCCAGAGTTAGACATGCTGCTTAATATTCTAGTTTGAAGCACCACAACTTTGTTTTTCAGACTTACCGGCATTTAGAATCACATTAGCCAATAGTCTTCAGATCTCTAGGTGTAAATATGGGACCTAGGCAATGGGATTGTTTATCAGTGGTATTGTACAGGACACAAGTTGTCTCCACAAACTATTGAACCGATTAAATTTTATGGTCTAATAACGCTATTTCACTTGTGAGGAAATTAGTAATGGTTTACAAACAATCGTTTCAATGCATGCAAGCATGAGGACAAAGATGAAAAATCCACAATTACAGTGGATAATAAACCTTCAACTCGTATAAAAAGAGTATACCTACTCCCACTAAACCACAGAATGGAAATCCCCATTTAGGCATTTATCAAGCTGTGAATTACAACCAGACAGTATACAGACTGTCATACATAAAACGTACTCCAAAATGTGTACTTTGTGATGGGGGTACACATTGGGCAAGTCATTGTATTCAATACACATCAATGGAGGAGGCACGTAAACAACGTGTTCACTCAGCTGAAAGGCTGCATCAAGTGTTTAGGTGAACACAAGGGAGGTAAATGCTCACTGGAAGAAGTGTTTTAAAATGCAAGGGTATCAGCATACAGATTATGCCCAAATATTTTGACTGAACAGGCAGCAGGACTTCACAGAATCAGGAAGTCAGCAAGCAACATATTAAATGTGAGAGATAAGGTTTAAAGCAACTGCTCTCCCGATAGCTCGAGTTGAGTTTATCTAATAAATTACACAAAACAATGTGCTAACACTATTTGATTCAAGGTCACAAAGCTCCTTCATAAGGCAGATCAGTGTGTCAGAATGAATACACAACCCTATGAAACAATACAGTTAGATATAGTGGTTTTTTCACAATTCTGGTTAACAGAATTCACTGTTGGTCTAGGAAAACAGGAAAAAAGACAGTAGAAGGTTTGGTAGAAGATGATATGCCTATGTCTGGGCAGATCCAGGGATTAAAAAGACACAGTTGCAGCACTAAAGCAGCATAAGGTCAAGTTTGCCTGTCAGACATACGGACGGATACACAATTAGTCCAAATGATTTATCATTGAAGGTGCTTTATTTATCACTGTTTTTGTGCAAAAATAGTAAGTAAACATGATGTTCACTTGCTGAAAACAGCAGGAGGCCACATAGATATGATGTCCCTTCCCTCTCAAAGTGGGGAAAAAAGCTGATATTGATTCAGTGGAAAATGTACTAAGTTACGAGAATAACATGCTCATGTACACAGCAAAAATTATCATTACTGGAAAGGAATGAATGAAACCAGTTGATAAGTTGCGGGTTTTCGATGCGCTAGGTATTGATGTAAATAAACCAAGCCCACAAGGAGGTCTCTCAGACTTATAACCAATATTTGGACACTGTCAAATATAAAGATGGACAGTATTGGTTAGGTTACTATGGAAATTAACTCCACCATCTGCCTCGCAATTATCGCATGGCTTTCGGACAAATGAAAGCACAACTACATGAGCCTCAAAAGATCCCAGAGCTACTGATTGTCTATGATAATATCATACAAGAACAGTTGGACAATAAATTCATTGAGGAAATAGTCGAACGACAAGTTGAAGACAGACGCTCATTATCTCCCGCACCTGGAGTCAGAAAAGATCTGAAACCCACTCCACTACGTGTTGTAATAATTGACAGCGCACGGAAATCAAGAAGTAGCAAGTCTTAATGTTGTCTGATGACCGGACCCTTCACTAACTGAGAAGCTTGGAGACGTTGCTTATGAAAAATTTCGAACAAACCATGCCTACACGGCTGATATTTCCAAAGCTTTCTTAAGTGTAGGCCTACAGAAATT